GGCTGACGAGAGTTGGAAACCACGAGGCCATTGTCTCTATGTGTCTACAAACCTGAAGTCGCTACGTTTGGAGTCCCAAAGGTGTTCTCCGATGTTTCCGTGTTTCATGTAGTTACTTGACTTACCGTGCTAACACGGTGTTGATGTGCTGACTTCATATTTTGCTTGTTTGGGTTCTTTTAGTTCTACCGCGGCGGGGTGTTGAAGTTTCGACTGGCTGCTTCGCTCGTGAGCTCGGTTAATGGGATTCAGATGGGCCCAGGGACGATGATTTAGCTATTTAGTGCGTGTAAATCGGGATACTTCCTGGAAACCGGCGTTCCTGAGCGGGACCGTGTCGTGTAATGCTACCTACCTAGCCTACGGCACAAGACACCCGAAGCTAGTTTTTCACAGTAGAAGTATGTGCTCGGATCGATTTTCAGTCCAGACGAAAGTCAGTAACTTTCCAGGACGCAAAAAGCAGGTGCCCATTGCACAGCTTGGCTCCTCGACAGCATGCGGCACAAAAAAAGCCAGCTCGCAGGGAGCTAACACATTTTAGACGTGTTGATAGGGGTTTAGCCCCACATAGTAGAGTAGAACTTTAGGTTCAGAGAATAAAGTTGGGAGCAGTCCAATTCCAGACGCGATGGAGCCCAAAAGGGATATCGGAAAAACGGGTTCATTCAGGCCGAGGTCCGCGCACCGGCACAGCTTTAGCCGTAATGTACGATTTACCGCCATACATTAGATAAACGAGTCGGAGAAACCATTTGGAGGTGCAGGGCGAGCTGAATCACATTGAGGCAAAGAAATTATGAAACCAAGACACTCACCAGGCGTTGCTGTCCATCTATACAGCGCGGGGCTCCCGGCGGGCAACCTTCTTGAGGGCGGGTTTGAGAGTGTGGACCTTCTTTCCGGCTACGAGGTCGACTAAATTGCCATTGAGTGGAAGTCAATTAGGCATAACGAGGGAACTCGCCGTTCGTTGCGGCGGTGGCAGAAATGTTGGTAGAAGAACTGGGAACTAAATTAAAGATCATGAGTGGATAAATGCTATTGAGCAAACGAGAAAACATACCAGCCACAAGACTCGCAGCTGAATGATACATTGAGTCAACGATATTGGAAAAGAAAAAAACACGAAAATAGTCACCCGACACTGCAACACCAGTACAGGTAACGGCGTCACCCACCTGGTGCGGTAAATTGCATTTTAGCTGAATCCCCACATTCGGAGCTGAATGTTCACTGAGTGAAAGGAAGCTCGGGGAAACGTATGGACTCACTGGCCGTTTCCGCCGCAGTTGCATTCACGGCGTCAGGTCCAAGCGACGTAGTACCAGTGCAGGTGAAGGATGAGCCCACAGTGGCCGATGAGCTACAGGTGATCTGCGTATTCGTGTGGTGGCGAGCAGCGAGGACCCGGCGCCTAGCTGAACGGCCATGCTGGGTCAAAGCCGGCCGGGAAAGAAAACGAAAATACACACTGGGGTTTCCACCCGCCGTTGCAGCACCGGTACAGGAAATAGCGTCCCCCACGTTGTGCGGCATAGCGCAGTCGATCTGAAACTCTGTGGGGGAGGTCAGGAGGGCGGCTAGATGTCGATCCTGAGCCAACGACGATCGAAAATAAAATAAAATACTCACCGGTAACCTCCGCCGTTGTGAAGTTCGCAGCGTCGGGGCCAGCGAACGTAATACCAGTACATGCCATGGTGCCATTCGTCGCGGACGGTACACCACAGACGATTCCTGAGATCGTGTGGTGGCGAGCGACGAGACTCCGACTGTATAGCGCGCTCAGAACGGATCGCACATAGTCGCAGAGGCGCAGATAGCGTGCGTACCTGGGAATCGCATACGCTGAAGTTTGTGCGGCTAGGGCGAAGAGGAAAGAGACACAAGGCAAAATTAATTTTCCACCAGGAAACATGTTAGAGAGTCGTTGAAGCTGTAAGAAGGAGCCTAGTGAGGAGGAGCCGGTCCTGAGGAAAAGATGGAGGGAGGAATGAGGAACGAGGGACAGGCCCCACGTATCTTTAAAGCGTGCGTGTTTACAGATTTAAGATCTGATCCATGCAGAGTTTACGGCCAGCCTTTGATTTAGCCACGCTAGACCCTTTGAATGCGTTGGAATCGATCCTAACTGATTGACCGTGCGTGTGATCAAAGACCTATCCACCTCCGCTTGAGTACATCCGAGATGAAAGCAACCAGAGAAAACTGTGAAAAGGATCGGCCTCAGAATTGATGGGGAGCGAAAATTGAACTTCAAAATTCGAGACTAGATGAGGCGGCATTTCTCTCGAGTTTAGGCCAAAAAGCCCCGTAAAACCAAAATCGGAATCAGGACCCTGATTCTCGGATGAGAAAGATAGGATGGGCACTCCCAGCAAAGCGGTGGTAGATATGCGTCTCTCCACAGCCTTGACCCGTTCAATCCAGACGAACGGGTCGCGTGGGGCCAACCCGTCAACGCGGATACCTGTCACCGTCATCCACGGGGAGTCAGGATGGTGGGAAGGTCAGACCACTGGGCGCAAAAATCAACCTAAAACGGGACGGGTCGCGTCGGGCCGACCCGTCAACGCGGATACATCATACCTGTCACTATCATCCACGGAGAGTCAGGATGGTGGGATGGTCTGACCACTGGGCGCAAAAATCAACCTAAAACGGGACGGGTCGCGTCGGGCCGACCCGTCAACGCGGATACATCATACCTGTCACTATCATCCACGGAGAGTCAGGATGGTGGGATGGTCTGACCACTGGGCGCAAAAATCAACCTAAAACGGGACTGGTCGCGTCGGGCCGACCCGTCAATGCGGATACCTGTCACCGTCATCCACGGAGAGTCAGGACGGTGGGAAGGCCTGACCGCTGGGCGCCAAAAAATCATCCCAAAACGCCAGGATTTGCCTCAGATCTTCCCACCCTCCGTAGATCGTGCTATTGACCGTTTTACAACGGCAAGACGGAGGGTGGGAAGGTCTAACTTTCGGGGTCAATTTTTTGCGCCCAGTGGTCTTTCCGTGGATCCATCAGGACGGCAGCTGGGTGAGCCTGCCATTCCATTCAAAATCCAGACAACCCAGTTTAGATTAAGCTGATAGAGAGTTCTTCAGATAGGGGTAATGATATAAAGAGAATGAAGTGATGTAGCCTGGTGGCAGCCGCCGAGATTGAAAAGACAGAGTAAAACAATTAAGCTTGTGGAGCAAAGTTCAACGGGGTCAAATGGGACTCGACAACGCTAATGTCTGTCAAAGTGGATGAGAACTAAGGTTTGATACCCTGATGCCAACGAACCTCCGAAAGAAACATTGAACAGCCTCCTGGCGAACGGCTGTATTTCGTAGTCAATGAGGATGTGGGCCAGGATCATCTTAACGCTGTTGGCCACGAAAAACCGTCCGGGGTTGCGTCGAAACATCAATACATTCCACCGGCGGTAATGCAGGATGTTTACGCACCAAGCGTGTATACCGTGCAAGAACGGGAGGAAGTGCGCGGAGGTAGTGACGAGGTCGACATTGCCGTGGGGCTTTTCATCTGTGGCCTCCTCGCGGAGGCGGGAGAACCTGAAGGCATCGAAATTGCGCGCCTTGGGGTGGTACTTCTCGTCAATGTATATCCATCGATCGAAACACCAACGCAGTTGTTCTTCTTGACGACCAGTCCGTGGGGTAGCGCCACGTCAGTCTTCGTTCTGCGAGCCAGGGCAACACCGCCGATGTTGGAGACACGGAGGCTCTCGAGAAGTATTCTGTCGAGGCGGTAGAGCTTGCAAAGGGCTGCCTTCGTCCATTCGCCGTTGTGTTCAGTAAAAACACGCTCTGCCTCTTCGCGCAAGATCGCAACGACATTCTGCGAAGGGGGAGCGCTCCAAATATTGAGGATCGCGTTGGTGACTGCGAGGCTGGTGGTGCTGATCGCGTCAAAGTTGAGGAGGATTCCCGAAGCAGCCAAGTGGTGAAATCATCCTACGTGGGAACGTTCGTTCAGAACGAGCAAAAATATTGATCGGACATATAGGCTCCTCCCAAGTGTATGTCGGATCCGCGGTTTTGTTCCTTCATCTTAATGGATCAGGTCCACCGAGTCTGGGAGAGTCGGCGGTTCGAACCCGTCCGAAGACACTACCAAGACTGATTTACTTTTTGTATCCCTGGAGCCATGTATTCGGTCCAAGTAAGAATAACCTCACTCAGCGTAGGCAGATAGGAAAGTTCTCGTGGAATAATGAGCTCGCTCCCATCTCATAAGGAGGTATTCATATCGGAGCCTTCGGAGAGTTGGTGGTTCTAATCCACCCCAAGACATTACAGGGCTGAACCCGATTTTCTCATCCCTGCAGCCGCTGTGTAGTTACCCACGTATTCATGCGTGCAGGTATACAGGGAAGTCCTCGTGGAGTATTGAGCTCACTCCCATTCCATTCGCGGTCACAAAGGAATGTTGGGAGAGATGGTGGTTCGGATCCACCCGGAGACACTCTCGACGTGCCGATACCTTTTTGCATCCATGCAGCCGCTGTATATTTACAAGGATATTCAGGCGGGCAGAAATACAGGGAAGCCTTCGTGGAGTATGAATGCGCCCTTGTGAATTGACAGAATATTCAGGCCGGTAGGAAGGAATACAGGTAAGTATTTGTGGAGTAATGAATCTCACTCCCGTCCCATTTACAAGTTATCTGCCAGATTATTTGGGAGAGCTGGTAGTTCGAATTCACTCGAAGACACTAAAGACAGACACTAGCTTTTTGGATCCCCCGGTCCTTGTATGCCTGGTGGTTACCAATATATTTGGGCCTTCAGAAAAAGTATGGAGCTCTCGTGGATTATTGAGCTCGCTCCCATTCCATTGCAATGTTCACAACAAGGAAGGAGGGGAGAGCTGATGGTTCCAATCCACCCGAAGACCCCATCGAGAGGAGTTGCCGTTTTTGCATCCCCGCAGCCGCTGTTTATTTACCCACGTATCCAGCCGGCTAGAAAGGGAGATAAGTCTTCGTAGGGTATTGAGCCCACTCCCATCTCATCTGAATGTATTTTTGGCATATTGCATCTTGGGAAAGTTGGTGGTTCGAATCCACCCGACGACATGCATAAAGGAGAGCCTACTTTTTCGTGAGGCAACCGCTTTGTATTGGAGAGATACATTATTCAGGCAGGAAGGAAGGAGGGAGGTCTTCGTGGAGTATTGAATCTCGCTCCCATTCCATTGCGATGTACTCGACAAGGAATGTGGAAGAGTTGGTGGTTCGAATCCACCCAAAAAAACACTAACAAGAATCGAAGCCCTTTTTGCATCCCTGCGGTCGCTGTTCTTTTTTTCCCCGACAAATTCAGGGCGGCAGGAAGATATCCAACGCCTCGTTGAGTATTGACCTCACTCCCGTCCCATTCGAACGAGATATTCAATCTTTGGAGAGTTGGTGGTTCGAATCCAGCCGAAGGCATTAGAGAGAGAGGAGATGTAGCTTTTTTCATCCGACCCGAAGGCATTAAGTGTTGGAATATGCATTGTGCACAGCAAGCCGATGAAACAGTGCAACGGTTCGCGTGGATATGCACAGCAAGGTGAAACACTACATGGTGTTTCACCTATGAAACGAATCAGCTGGTCTGACACTCATTTTATCTATTGTCTCGTATTCACATTGTTCTACCGCCATTGTTCTTACACCATGGTTCTCAAGGTATAAAAGGCCTTGAGAACTTGCCAATAAATCATCACTTCGATTCTTTCCCCCCCACTTGAGTTACAACTCTACTACTTTATCGAGTACCCCTCGGTTCTATCACACCCCCAAATGTCTACAGGTTATTGGCTTCTGCGCTTAAACCTCAAACGAATACTGCTACTTCTTAACTCTCTCAAACCACCCTCACACTCATGTCGACCAACACGCTCTCCTCGACTGCGAAACATGGCGAATACTTCTCCAAACTTCCCGCCTGCAAAGCCGATGGCACAAACTGGGTCTTCTTCTGTGATCGCTTCCTGTTTGCACTGGACGCAGCAGGTCTCGGTGATCATTTCGACACCACCAGTGCTCCACCGGTTGCGCCGACCTTCGTCAATGCTACGCCACCCACGGCAGACGAGACGAAAGCCAATGACACTTACTTGGTGCGTCGGCGGTTCTGGAAGTCGGAGCAGGCTACTATCAAACAGGGCCTCGCTTCGGTAGTCCCGGACTCGCTTTTCTTGAAGGTCAAAGGGGCGGAGACAGCGAAGGGAATGTGCGAGAAAGTGAAGGATGAATACGAGAAGAAATCGAAAATGGTCACGGTTGATCTGCGGCGGGAGCTCCAGGATGAGCTATGCACATATAGCGGAGCTGTCAAGACACATCTTGACAAGCTGCAGACAATATGAGCGGACCTCGTCGTAATGGGCGCAGACCCCGGCGATGACAACTTCGTGGCAATTGTCCTTGGCTCCCTCCCCACGTCCTACAAAACATACCTATCAGCACTCACGGGTGCTGCCACACTTCTTGGCAAAACTCTCGATCCCGACACGGTGCTCCAGGGCATCAGCGACGAAGCTGACTGGAAAGCGGCCAGGCTCACAGGAAAGGGTGAGAAAGAGGTTGCGTTCTATGGAACAGCGGCAAGAAGCCGAAGAAGATGATGGAATGCTATAATTGCCACAAGAAGGGGCATATGGCAAAGGATTGTTGGGCGAAAGTAGGAGGGAAGGAAGGCCAGAACTCTCACCGTAAGGGGCATGGCAAAGCGAATGCTGCAAAAGCGAGCGACAATTTTGATGCTGCATGGACGGCAGTGTCGTACAGGCCGGAGGATGATGTCGAGTTCGGTGAACTTGACCAGGATGAGCTGGGACAGGACTTGGACGATGAAAACAAGGATTCACCACCACTACTGAATGCATCGGACAGCGACGACAACGCTGACGATGAGGAGGAAAGTATATTTGTCAGCGCTGTCACTGACTCCGACAATGGGCTCGAGATATACGACTCGGGTGCCACATCACACATGACACCCTCACAGCATCGATTAACAAATTATCGCAACATAAAGCCGCGCGGAATTACTGCGGCGGACAACAAGAAGTTCGAAACACTCGGGATGGGAGACATGCATGTCCTAGTCCCCAATGGCACAGAACGGTCAATGAGAGTCCTCTTGAAGGACATCTTGTATGCACCCAAACTTGGTGGCACCCTCATATCCATCTCTCGCATCGCCCAAGCCGATCACAATGTTCAATTTCGTCAGTCGGAGTGCTGCATATTTGACAGTGACCATCGTCGCATTGGGACTATTCCACTCGTTTACGGACTATACAGTGTTCGGACTCAAGATCCAACACCGTGTGCTAATATAGCATCCGATGGACCAGTACTCGCAACCCCGGAGGAGTTGCATCGTCTGATGGGACACCATCCTATTGACGCAGCCAAGAATCTGATCAAAAATCAGTTGGTGGAAGGAATAGAACTTGACGACTCGGCACCTACCTCAAAGGATGACTGCAAGTCATGCCTGCATGGCAGGATGACTCGCAAGCCAATCTCAAAGGCTGTGGAGCGCGTTGCAACTGGCAATATTGGTGATGAAGTCCACATGGATGTGTGGGGACCCGCCACTGTTGAAACACCGCAGCACAAGAGATACTATGTGTCCTCTAGCGACGAGGCATCACACTATACAGTCTTGATGTTGATGCACACGAAGGACGAGACACTGGAGTCATTCGAGGATGTTGATGCACGATGGGAGACGGAGCATGGAATCAGAATTAAGATCCTTCACTCCGACAATGGTGGTGAGTAAAAAAGCCATGCATTCGACAAGTACCTTGCAAAGAGGGGCATCCAACACCGCCTCACTGTCCACGACACCCCCGAGCACAATGGAGTCCCCGAGAGACTCAATCACACACTTCTAGAGAAAGTGCGCGCAATGTTGCATGCTGCAGGGTTACCCGCAAATTTATGAGGTGAAGCATTGAAACATGCAGCTTGGTTGAAGAATCGGACTTCAACCAAAGCTTTGAAAAGTCGGACACCTTACAAGGCATTCCACAAATTGAAACCTGACTTGCGCAACATCCACAAATGGGGCTGTGAAGTCTCGGTTCATGCTGAAAAAGCGTCGGAGCTGGATGGCCGCACTCGCCGGGGGCGATGGATTGGTTATGACCTCGAAAGCATCGACGGGCATCGGACTACTACACGGACAATCGATCTATACATGTCGAGCGCAGCATCAAGTTTCCAGAACTCAAGAGGAGCGGTGAATTATACAGAGTGCTGAATGAGGGGGAGAATGCGGAAATTAAAGTTGAAGAAAATTCACAAAACATCCAGCACCCGCCTGCATAAATCACTACATGCACACCGACTCCACCATCTCCCCTTACCAAACCTCCATCCACTTCTGACTCTGACTTTGACTGCAACACCTGTTGCACCTCATGATATTTCAAGCACAATTGACCCGAAGAATATTATAGAGGGCACACGGACACGTCGAACAGCTCTTCTTGCGGATATGAAGGAAGACGACTCGCATCGGCATAACATTGGGATGGAATATGCCTACGTGGGAATTGGGGAATCCAACTCACCTACTGTGGAAGAGGCAATGACATGGCTGGACTGGCCGCTGTTCAAGGCGGCAATGAACATTGAGATGGAAGCCATGGAGAGGACGGGCACATTCGGCAAGGGACTTGTTGCCAGACCAATTGGCCGGAATGTTATCGGATCTAAACACTTCAGGCTACTCCCACCCAGACCTACTTAGGGTAATTTCCTCCACTTAGGTGTGGGCCCAAAGTAGGTCTAAAATGTGGGGCCAAACCACCCATGTGGATGTATCCACCATAAGTAGATCCCTCTACCTGGCTGACCATGGGTGGGCCCACCTGTGTCACATCACGGTGATGTGGATGCACCCATGTCCAGCTCGTTTTGGGGATTTTCCACCCTCCGCAGGCCTCATATCGTGGCCCCTGCTGGCCCCTCCTCTTGGCCCTAGTTGACCACGCCTGCTGGGCTTGCTCTGGCAGTACCCACCACCGTTAGGCTGTATGCTAGCCTTCCTAGCCCCCCTTTTCTCAGCTTTTTTTGGGCATTTTTCCGCCCTCTGTCGGCCCCATATTACAGCCCCCACTTGGTTCTTACTCTTCCAGTCTGCCTTTGATCCGCCTCATATACTAGCCTTTGGGTCCTTGAGTCCTCTCTACTCTTGCCTTTGGAACCTCGTACCTATGCTGCTTACCATATTGCTTGCTGTCGGATCTTTGCCTACACTCACCTTCAGATTCCCTCCTAATGCTCACCTTCGGATTCTCCTCTTACACTAGCATTCAGATCTGTACCTACACTCACCTGTATATCCTCACCTCTGTATGCTTGCCTACACTTACCTTCAGATTCCCTGCCTCAAACTTTCAGATCATCTGTATATTCTTACATGGTCACCACATTACACCACTCACCTTCACATCCTTACCTATATTCACCTTTGGACCCTTGCCTACTTACCATAATATTCCTTCCCGTGCCCACCCTATTTTCAGAAGAAATCACTTCCCTTAATATCCCTGCATCTGCCTTTATGTTTGCCTTATATCTGTCTTATATCAGCCTAACAGTTGAGGTCTACTGTAGGGAGGCGACGGTCACAGTCACGACTGGCCCGTCGTGTCGCCCCTGTCACAGCGGGTCACGGTCACTGAGAGTGCCGTCGCCAAAGAGGCACGGTGACAATTGTGAAAATGGGATGGGGTGGTATTTGTGGGCCCAAATTTCACTTTGCGGGCCATTTTGTTCCGCATTACACCTGCTTTTGACTGGATCAGCGTCACAATTCCCCAAAAGTGGCATTAAGAAGTGGTGGGTAAAATCTCCGGTCGCCCACCTAGGCAATCATCATGGTCACTGCGGACTTGTGCGTAGGCCCGCCCTGTCTGTCCTTTTTCGATTTACTGACTATTTTCAGAATAGCTCGAGGCACGACCTGTCGTCTGTCCGCTATCCGCGTGCGTAGGCCCGCTTGTGTGTCCTTTTTCGATTTACGGACCATTTTCAGAATGGCTCGAGGCACAACCGGTGTCTGTTCGCTCTCGGGGTGGACAACACAAGCGTTGGGCTCCGACATACATACTCGGTATCCGTGTTTCTACGCCAGACCAATCGAAACTCGACTACGATGATGACATATATATTATATATTATCCGGGCGCACATTACAGTAAGACTAAGCGGGGGTTCATTGAATACAGGCAACCCAACCCACGTGAAGGAGATTAAGGGAATGTGCATTGGATTATTGCGTGGTCTAATGCGAACATCCATACACGCGCAAAAATGCGCCACCTCAAGGAATTGTAGTATGTATTATAATGTAGTAGCAGCAGAAGCATCAGTATATAGTTGTGAGGTATCATATGGCCGGGTATCGTATCGTACATCACAAGTCAACGTCGCGTTCACAGGCAGGAAGAATGAAGAACGAGAACTACGAATGCGCGTGCGCGTGCCCGACGTACATCTTCTCCTTGAGGCGCTGCACGAGCTTCGGCTTGCGCTGCGGGCTGCCCTCCTCTACAGCTACGTGTGCGGCGGGCGCGCGCGGTCCTGGCGGCACGTCGTCATGAGATTCGGACGGCAGGTTATCCGCCGGCGCTGCGGAATTGAGGGAGGGTGACCCGGAGGTAAGGACGCCGTACGGCGAGGGCAGCGGCCACGTCCGGCCCCGCGCGCTGCGTGTCCGTCGTCGAGCTCGGCGGGGGCGGGATCACCGGCGCAGCATCCGATAAAGCTGAAGGGGACGCGACGAGGTTTTCCGCGAAGCGTGAGCCCCCGATGGGCGTGCCGAGCGGCGCGACAGGGTGCAGGGAGGCGAGGCCGCCGGTGTGCACGAGCGCGCTCAGGTTGTCGATGTCGGCTTTCGGGGTGGAGAGCGTGGTGGTGGAGGGGGAGGGGGAGTCGAGGTGGTGTGTGGGGCCGATGGAGCCGGCTTGGGCTTCTGTGCTGAGGCTTCGTGGAGGCGCGGTCGGGGGTGGCGAATGTCGGGCGCTGGGGCGTGAGGTCTGGGTTTGATTCAGACGACGACGCTAAGGAAGAGTTAGCAAACAATAATAATGATGAATATAGAACACACGCAGATACGCCGCAACGCCCTGCGGCAGGTACTTCTGCGCCGCGTTCATCATCGCGCGCTGCACGTCGTCCTGTGCGGGACAGGTACGCCTTGGCCGTCGCCAATAGCGTCTCCCCGCTCGGCGCCGCCGCTGGTGCCCCTGCGGGTTCGTCGGGAAACCACCCCGGGACATTCTCCCCCGCGTTTTCCTGGCGTGGTGGCGGTTTCGTGCGCCTCCAGCACGCCGTTCGTGTTCTACGCCCACTCGTCTGCAGACGTTTGCGGCAGGGTAGCGGAGTCAATGCCGGGGACGGGGTTCGATGTGGTGGTGTTCATGGTGGATTGAAGGAAAGAGCGCGTTTTGAGGGGCAGACATGGTGGTTAGAGTTGCGGTATGACGTCGATGACAGACAAGTGTGCCGGTGCTAGGGGCAAAGACGTGGTTCGATTTGGTTGAATTCGGGATTTTGGGGCCGGATCGGGAGGCGGATTGCTTCAAGTATCGGTTTAGAATAAAAATGATGTCCAGGGGGGCACTCGGAGAACCCGATGAGGCGGAGTGATGAAACCACGAGTCGTTTCGAACACTAGCACTGGGGACGTTGACCACTCCCCATACATCACGCTCGAAGCTCGTGGAGGGCCTCGGCACCCTTCTGGCTCTCCGACCCCACCGCGTACTGCGTCGTTGGGCCCGCCGCGTTCAACTCATCTGCTCGGGCGGATACCCTCCCCTCCGAATTCCATTCCGCGCCGGCACCCGGCCCTCCCCGCGGAGATGCATCGCAATGCGCTGATTTATCGCGGCACTACGGGGTTATTCAGGTGGCCAGAGATATAGGAAAGTCTTCGTGGAGTATCGAACTCACTCCCGTCCGTTCCGAAAATTGTGAGGATTTGGGAGAGCTGGTGGTTCGAACCCACTCGAAGACATGGAGCGGCTTGAGATATACTTTTGTTCTCTTCAGTAACGTCATGGCACCTTGCCTCGCATACATATTCAAAGGTCACAGGAAGGAAGGAACGTCTTCGTGGAGTATTGAACTCGCTCTCATCTCATGAGGTATTCGTCCAAAAGCTTTGGGAGAGCTGGTGGTTCGAATCCACCCGAAGACATGTGTGAAGACTCCTTACTTTTTCGTGTGGCAGCTACTGTGTATTGTAGGGAAACAGTATTCAGGCGAGCAGGAAGGGAGGCAAGTTTTCGTGGAGTATTGGACTCACTCCCATCCAATCACATATGTCAGCATCTCCTTTGGAGGTTTGCGAGGGCTGATGGTTCGAATCCACCCGAGGACATGTCAGAAAAGGTTTAGCCTTTTTTGCATCCCTACAGCCGCTTTGGATTGCAGAGCTATTCAGGCGGGTAAGAATACAGAGAAGTCTTCGTGGAGTATTGACCTCGGTCCCATTCCATTGCAGTGTACTCAACAAGGAATGTTGGGAGAGCTGGTGGTTCGAATCCACCCGAAGACATGCGCGAAGGAGTGCTACTTTTTTGTGTGGCAGCCGTTTTGTTTTCGGGGATACATTATTCAAGTGGGGAGGAAGGGAGGGGGGTCTTTGTGGGGGACTGAATCTCGCTCCCATTCCATTGCAATGTACTCGACAAGGAATGGGAGAGATGGTGATTCAAATCCACCCGAAGACATGGACAGGTGCAGACGGCTTTTTTCGTCCTCTCACGGCACTTCAGGTCGGCAGAATTCGTGGAGAATTAATCGTAGTTCTTCCAGGAATGAGGATTTATTTTGTGATGTACGATAGAATGTCGGATACGATACGAGACCTGGCAATTACATACGATACCTTTACTGCAAGACTGACTTACGAGTTGTCGCTCAGCTCTTGAGAGAGCGAAGAGGGTGCGGAAGTCTTCGTGGAGGACTACTTGAATTTCTTAGCAGCTAGGGAGAGCCGGCGGGTCGACGCCGCCCGAAAATACTACTGTTGAATCGTAGCAGTTTTTCATCCCTCAGGGAGGCTGAGGCTGATGCTGGAGCCACCCGAGTGTTTTGCACCACCTCAAGGGAGAGTAGGCAGTATTCGTGGAATATTAACGTTGTTCTCAACTTGAATTGAGGCTCTTCTTTTACGTCCTATCAGTCCACCCAGTGCCTACTTATTCTGGGCGGTAGGAAGACAGGGTCGTCTTCGTGGAGCATTGACCTCATTCCCATCCTATTTGAAGGAGAGATTGAATCTTTGGAGAGGTGGTGGTTCGAAACCACCCGAGGACATGGACCGGTATGAGCGGCGGTTTTTTTATCCGTGCAGCCGAGGTGTATTTACTTGGATATTCAGGTTGGAAGCAAGGGAGGAAGGTCTTCGTGGGGTATTGAGCGCACTCCCATTCAAATTGGGTGAAATAGTGAATGATGGGAGAGTTGGTGGTTCGACCCCACCCGAAGACACTGTGCGCACTGTGTCTTTTTGCATCCGTGCAGCCGCGGTGTATTGGAAGGAATATTCAAGTAAGTAGATAGGAAGGGAGGAAATTCTTCGCTCCACCCGACGACGCTGAGGGAACTGCAATGACGTTTCGCATCCCTGCAGCCTCCGCGGTGTATCTACATGGATCCTCAGGCGGGAGGAACGGTAAGCACATATTCATGTGAGCAGGAAGATAGGCACGTCTTCCGTGGGGTATTGCACTCACTCCCGCCTCGTCGAAATTCATGAGTGAATGTTGGGAGAGATCGTGTTCGAATTCACCCGAGGACATGCGCACATCCGATGCATTTTTGCATCCCTGCGCCCCTGTGGATTTACAGAATATTCAGGCGGGCAGGTATACAGGGAAGCCTTCTTGGAGTATTGAACTCGCTCCCATCCCGTTTGGGCGCTCGCGATAACTGAATGTTGGGAGAGTAATACCTCTAAGCAATCCCTCTAAATTCTAAGGCACGGACACGGATGTGTCGAGGTACAATGGTGTGTAACTATCCCCACATATCTCGGTACTCTCTGCCGTGGCCCAGGAATGCAATGCGCCCTAACTACTTAAAATGAAAAACCCATCGTCGGATAAGGTAGTTTTTCGTTCCTCGATTGTCCTATCCAGTACCGACCTCCCACAGGCGGTTCGTGCTTTTCCAATGATGCAAGAAGGGGGGCTACCTCGTCACCGAAATTCTGCCACGTGGGGCGATAAGCAGAGACCGGAAACAGTAATTGTAGCTGGCCCACCTTTAGCCACCCAATCAGTCCGTCCCGATTCAACTCGCTGGTGCCAGTCAAGAAGCAATCCCGGAACAAACACTTCAAAATCCCCAAAAGTTCGGGAACCGGGGGTGCGTCGATGAGAGCCCGACACCACTCAGAGGCGAACTCCCAATGTGTTGACCTCCTCGATACGGGATACGAGCTGAGATAATTCCCCTCTGGAACTATCTTGAGATAATCCCCCTCTGAAACTGTCTTGAGATAATTCCCCGTTGAAAGTGTCTTGAGTTCCGCCGTCCTGTCAAAGTTTCGGAGGGATGACTTCAATTTACGGGGTTGTTCAACCCACCTGCACATCAGCAGGCGCAGTGATATTTGGGCGACTCTGAATTTGACCTCCGGTGTGGCGTTCCAGTTTAGGAAATTCCTGACTCTCTGGCGGGACTGTCTGGTTCTCGGTGTCTCGTCCGTACCCCAGAGCTTCTGAATCAACAGAGCAAGGGAAGAGTGAATAATCAGTATCTGTGACTCTTCAAAGCTTTCCGTTCCCCAAGCCTCGTAAAACTCCAGAACATCTGGATTTGGGTCAAATACCGTCATGAGCAGGAGATCCCAGGTGCAATTCAGCGCACGCGTTAACCGAGTGTTATACTGTTGACATATTCAGGATTGGACCCTGTGGATCGCGACCCGGGGCTCACCTTGTACTCGTCCATCGTCTCCAGGAAATCAATGATATACCAAAAGCGGAGGAGCATCGTCTTTGCATCCCGACAGAGAACCCTTAGCCGCCCAGTCTCTAGCGAGTCCTGGAAGCATTTGAGGCATCTAAATATGAGATCCTGATGATCCTGGACTAATTGAAAATGATGCCTCCCGCTCCGGTGAGCATATGAAGATCTGATACAGAATTAATATTAATGCGGGCAGATGTAACATATTGGGAACTTACATGGCACTCGAGTAACAGCCCGGACTCTCAACAGTATGTTGAACAATCGAAAAACAACGTCGAGCCAAGTCGTTTTCATGTTGCGCCATGTCCAAAAAGAAGATGCCAGCTCTTTGTGGATTCCACAGGAAATCTTGAAGCGAGGCATGGTGGACACGGATCCGGCGGTCGTCTGAATCCGGAATTAGCAGAAGGGAGTGAAGGCCCCGCAGCGCAAGTCTGACACTTCCGCGGGCGAGACCGAGAATATCGTCGAGGAATGAGACGCAGTTATGTCGGAAATATGAATATGGGATGGCAAAGTATGTTCCTAATATGCGTAAGAGGAGAGACACATTCGGGTTGGCGGTGAGGATGAAAGTATACAGTGCGTCGAGGTCTGCAAACACCGACCTGCCGGCCTGAGTTTTCGACAGGCTGAGGACGAGGTTGAGCTGCTCGACGGGATGACAATATTCACCATCGACGAATTTTATCACCGTGGCAGCGTAGATGAATTGCCCAGAGGCACTGTGGACCAGTGTGTCCAGATCTCGTTCAGAGGGCCAGGAAGGGCTCCATTCCAAAGTGATTGGGGAACAGCTTGTGCTGGATGTCGGCGAAACTGTCGCGCAAGTACCGTAGAATATCCCAACCAGGATTGAACGTCTCGTCCAAAACAAGATGACGGAAGCGAGTCTCCGGGGGTAAAGAGTCGAAGGTTTCGCGGATGTGGAGCTCGGGACGGCTACAGATAAGAAACATGATGGGTAGTTTCTTATCGGAGATCATGTGAAAGAGTATTTTGACGATCCGGCTCTGAATCGCCTTGCCTTCGCATTCATCTAGCCCGTCGATGATCACCAGATATGACGTGCCAGCCACATCTAGTTCTTCCATGGGATTGACAATCAAAGCCCGAGCTTGCTCCTCGAGCGTCTTGTCGCAGATAGCCGGATCCACTTCAACAGCGAGGCCGATGGGCTTCCGGAGCTGCGGGATATGCAGCGCAAGCTGATAAGCAATGGTAGGGAATAGGCTTTTGCCGGAGCTCCCGCCGGCGCGCCATCTGCCGAAGAAAAATGCAGCAGCAAGTTTGTCCACCGACCATTTCTCCGCCATACTTTGCGCCACGGCGGACTTCCCAGCGCCTGCGGGTCCGTATAGCCACATGACCCCGGGCGCCTGATGCCCTTCGGCTGCCCAGGCCTGGATCGTATCTTGCACCGCTGTCCTGGTGTCTGGATGGCATTGCGGCGGCGGGAAGCGCTGCTCAGAGTTGTAGAACGCATCCCCCGAGATGCTGCGCTGAAGGATGGTGATTCCTGCGTCGCAGAATGTCAGTCGCAGCACAATTTGAAGAAATTCTGAATGATGGTGTTCACCGTTTTCTTCCTGAGGTTGAACCAAGTCCCCCGCGATCTTGTACTCGTTGTGATGCCCCGCTATCTGATTGAATGTGCTGCCTGAAATGTGGAGACGGTAGGCGTCGACGAGAGACATGGGAGGTGCTGTGGCACTGCCTTGTGCGTCTATTTTTTAGGCTGTCAAAGGCAGTGCATCGGCCATCAAGCCGTTAGCGCACGCGGGCAGTCTGAAGGACGTAAATATGCACGGTCGAGGCTTGATCGAGGCTCGCTGAGCAGCCACAGAGAATCATATACCACAGTGTGTTTCAGAATTAGAATTTCGAGCCCAACTTGACCCCCAACTTCGACCCCCAACTTGCCGGAAGTTGGGGTCTGAGGACTCGGAGGAGAGGCAGTGCCGGCTCGGTGCCGGCGCGGAAACATATACAAATCGGCAACAGCAGACGCAAGCTGACGAACCCCGCTCAAGGGGGAGTCGGGATTCGAAAAACAGATATAGGGTCGAAAAGTTTTTTTCAACCCTCGGCCAGACCCCCCCGCCCCCTCCCCCCTATATAAGGAAGGAGGTTCCCACCCCTGGCGGCGGGCCGCGTCTCCGAGTCATGTGCGCGCTCGCCGCCACCAGGTTGACAGCTTCCTAATCCACTCAGCGCTATAACAATTGACCTCTTCGATGCTCTGGTAGGGCTAGAACATTGTCGAGTGTCAACCACTTGCATTTAATACATATCAGCTTCAATTAGTGAATGATGTGCGCTGTTTTCAGAGTCAAATATAGAATTTCAATGTTTGTAGGTGCCGATACTGTCATCTTGCCCCAATCTCCCAAGGTTTTAAGTCTATGCACATCAATTTCAATGTTCCGCCTAAATTATTTTGAGTAACCGTTCTGAGTTCACCATCGACTGACACTCGGAGACGTTCACAACAATTGATGGACTTTCCAAATCCGGACCACCATGTTGTACATGCCCATCGCGTCCCAAATACCATCTCCCTGCCTCCTGGAGTGCTTCAGGGTGTATTTCTGACAGTTTTGAGCCTCCTTCATATTACATGATACTGTAAAAGTTTTTTTCAGCCCTCCTTGGGACCCCCCCCCCCTATATCCGAAATTTTAATCCCGAAACCCCCTTGACCCCGCTTCTGCCTTCGGAATGAACCAGCATTTACCATGGTTATCCAAAGCTACCTTGGACTCAAAGTCAACAACAACGTAATCAAGCTTTCTATTTACTATCCAGAGTTAAAACTCTACAGTGAGCGGGGCTGATTTTTCTCCCTTCCTTTGGTCGGTTTCTCCCAAAATTCGATGGAACAGGCGAGCATTACACGGAATAAGGCCTTAGTTAGGTCCGACTTGCTCCAACTAAGGCCAACTAGAAAAATCTTGGGTATGGGTTTTTTGGGTTTGAACGATGTATCATCACCCTCTTTTCACCCTCTTTTTAAAATTATGTGTGAACGTCCGTCTGTGTCACGATTTGACCCTAATCTAATCGCTCCAACACACGTGACCTCAGCGCCTAAGGCTGATAAGATTATTCGAGCACCGATGGAAGACGGATATACCCGGGAAGATTGGGAGAATGCCGCATGATGACGTCATGAACACATGCCAAGCGCGTGGGCTATTATGGGTTGGTAAGAACACATGGACTATTGCCGACCTAGGTTCCCTTTTCATTTCATTAACATTTCATATATATTTAGTCAGTAGTTCACACGGTTCGCAGAACAGTATAAGTAGAGTAGTTATTTGCCTGTAGTAGTTAACCTTTTATTCCATCATCTTCGAGACCTCTACAAGCACTACCCAATCCCTCTCATCTTACCGAGAGTGGACACTTAAGTCTTGACTGTGACATAATAAAAGGTTGACCCTCATACCCTCGTACCACCCCACTTCCCTTTCCTCCCCCTATCCACCACTTGGATTGCCCTCACC